TTTTTATTAACATTAGTATGTGGGAACAACTGCACGTTGTAGTAAAAAGAAAAACTGTCTTATCCAGACCCTCAAGACCCTCCTCCCCTACAAAATCTACATAAAAGAATATAATAATTGCAAAATAATTGACACAATGATGAAACCTGTATCACTGTAGAGGAGACTCTGCTGCAATTCTTTGTACTCTTGTTTCCAGGATGTTATTTCTCTTCACAAAAATAGTCATCAATTCTTCTTAGACATTATCCTAATGATTTGGGGTCAGTTACAATTGAATTTTAAATTAATTACAATTACAATTACATAATTGTACAATTGTCATTGATACATGTATGCATTTTAAACCATTGACCGTAAATATAATTGCAGCTAGTCATAACTTACATGACCAGATGAGATATATACTACGGATAACTAAAACAGTCTAGGTAATAGTCTCAAGGCAAAATCTCTTGCTTTTCATTGTTTTAAACCCTACTGAAATCTGAAAGTTCTAATGCTCCTTTTAAAAGCTCAAAACCAGTTTGTAAGTATTGTAGAGTTAAAGTGTTTCTGGATCTGATACGGCAACATCTAACTATATACTCATCTAAAGGGATAGCCAGCATGTTAGTATTTCATTTAAGAGAAAACATCCAGACATAATGTTGTCCAGCAACACAATCTGTCCTTGCGATACACTGTAGTGCAGCTGAAATTAAGTACTGCTGAAGGTTTTAGAGGTACAGAAAGAGCTCCAGAGAAGAAATTTTAAAAGCGTTTCAACTGCACTTCTGATGATAAAGAACATAAAAAGTTTAAAAAAACAAGGTTAAGTACAAATCCAAACGACCAGCGAAAATACGAAATGAAAATTCCACTTGTGACGCAAATTCTACTCTACATTGTACTGTCAATGTTATTTTGTAAAATATATGTATCACCTTGCAATGTAGAGTAGAATTTGCGTCACGAGTAGGATTTTCATTTTGTATTTTCGTTGGTCATTCGGAATCCTACTTAACCTTGCTTTTTTTAATTTATGTTCTTCTTTGTGTTGATTTTTTAAAGTATTTGTTTAGTTGCCATTGTGATGCTTGTTGATTTTACACAAACAATAATTTTCTTTATTATTATTATCATTGTTATGACTTTACATCATTTATGAGAGACAGCATTGAATAGACATGCTGAAGGAATATCAACTATCCTGATGACAAGTGAAATTAATACTAGTAGTCCTTGTTGATGAAGCTGTGAGCTGAGTGTCCATCTTCCCTGCAATGTTGCAGCTTTTCCTGTTCCTTGAGGCTGTTGTCATTCATATTATCATTGCATATCATAACATTAATTATTTGATTGTTAACGACCTGGGGGCGTAGCCCCTGGTTGTTCCTATAATTGATTTCAACCACATGAGATGTTTGTATATATATATATATATATTTGTATGTCCACGCTTACATTTCTTCTATACATGTTATATTGGAGAAATAACAAGCCTTAGCAACCACCCGCCCACGCTCCCTATGTAGTGGGTGTGGTCACGGCAAACAAAATGGCGGCTTACACATGGGACAAAGTTAAGAGCTTTCTAACAGCAAGGGAACATAAAGATACTGTTTAAAAACTTCTCTTGAAGCATTTGAAGGTAGAGAGAACCTCTATAAGTCTTAATAATGACCAAGTTGTATTTGAAAGGTGGTGAAATCAATTATAGGAATATTTTTTACACTGTTACGCTTGTTTTTTAAATAAAATAAAATCACACACTTGATAACACAGTAATATGTAAGATTAATACCTCCTTTTAGCTGGAAACCTCCATTAAAGTATTGCAGTAAGTTGATTCCAAGCGTAACTTGGTAAAAAAATTAATTGCTTCTTCCAGAGCTGCAGATCTGCATCTGAGCATGCACGACCACACCCAAATTTTGGAGCACATGCTTCTTTACTTAAAAAATGGTGGCATGCAGCTATGATGGCTTATCCAGCAGTCACAGTATCACTTTTTGTTTACTTAAAGAATGATCTAATAAGACATGGACCAGCGCATAGACTGTTGGAGTAGATTGGTGTATGAATTATCCTTGTAGCATCAACTCATACTGAGATACACACCGACAACTGGATTGACTGGACTTAATGATGAAGATGATGATGGTGATAAAGATGAAGATGAAAAAAAGTTGCTGAACAAAACGGCCGGTTCGCCAATTTTTTACTTTTCACTAAGAAAATGTCCAGAGCCACGCTAGTTGTACCATTGGAGTCCTCTGGTCAAGATAAGGTCCTCTATAAAGTCTGGTAAGCATAGGAGCTTGTTTTCCCGGTATAGCAAGGCTGCAAAAGTCGTGGTAGCCATTTTGTTTGTGGGTGATTACTTAGTAACGCTACCGTGTTACTAATAACCAGAAGCTTACCTGTTCTGTGTGCAGCTGTTGACCTTGTTATTCACAGTTAAGATTCTTAAATGAGACTCACAAAGGCAATGCAGAGGAGGAGCTTCCTAATGAAGTGGAAATCCTGCATCTTCCAATTAGTTAGAGCTCTGCAACTTCTAGTCCTGAATCTGATACTGAAGTTGCTGGTAGTAGCCCATTAGCAAAACAGCCTAAAAGGAAAGTGCTATGCATTTTCTTTTTGGATGGTATTAAAAGCAGACACCACCTCATTGTTGAAGATAAAATCGGTTACATGTATAGCAGGTTTTTTATGATAATTATTTTCACAAATGACTCGTATCTGGATGTTTGTGAAATTAAATTTTGCTACTTTCCATTTTTTGCCATCTTGTACCATATGAAAGTGATTTTCAAGGAATTTAATTCCGTGAATCATGAAAGATCCATTAAATTTGTTATCTTTAAAATATGGTATTTCCAGAAAGAGCCTTCCGTTGATCCAGATTTGAGTCCAATTGAGTGGTTGAAGAAAAATGAAGATTGTTTTCCTAGAGTAGCCAAGATAGCAAAGAAGGTAAAGTGTATCCCTGATACATCAGTCAGCTCAGAGAGTTTTTTAACTTCTGGAAACATAGTTACAAAACTGAGATATAGCATAAAACCTGAGAACGTAAACATAATTATTAGTATTTTTTTAACAAGAACCTCCAAGCTACACACTTTAGTAGGGCCTCACTGACTCTTTGCCGTCTGTTTCTCTAATTGCATATTTGATGATCATGTGTGAAGTAGCTGCTATTGGTTTGTTAAGTCTTTATTTATATTGTGTATATCAACTATGAATATCATTATTTTAAATACAGCACATCACAGATGCTATAATTATTAATAAAACTTAATTTATAGTAAATTAAACATAGTCAGATGTCTTTTTCATTGTTGTGAGCAGTCACAGATTAATGAGGAGAGGTACAGCAGCATCTTCAAGTAACTTATGGTGGGATAATGAACTAGTTATCACCAAACTCACCACTGACATGAATAATAAGACTCAGGTTCATCAAATTTTGTCAGTTGTTCAAGTTCCTGTATATCAACTGCTTTTCCTTGATTCTAACTATGTTCAAGTTAAGATCTTGGACTCTTATTTGTCACATTGTGACATTATGTTTCTTATTGCTATAATACTCAGTTCTAAAGCTGAAAAGTAGCAAGTTGTGTTACTAGGATGCATATGTACAATCCCTGCCCACAAAGTATTGCATAAAGGCATAAAAAATGTAAAAAAGGTATGGCTGCCTATCTTAGCATTTGCTGCACGATTATGCTGTCATTTTCCTTGTCTTTGTATTTGCATGAAGTTATGATAGTTTTATACTTTACATATAATTGTATTGGCCTTTCCTTTGAGTCTTGTACATTGTTCAAAGTCTGTTTTCCACTTCTTGATTGTAGCTATTTTATTTTATCCACCTATGCAAAAACCGCACATTAGTGGCAGTATTGGTGTCAAGTACTCTTCAATTGTCCATTTGCTTTGACTTTATTTCTCTTTTTCTATAACTGTGCTCTAGTTGTATCATATATCAAAGTACCAGAGTTTTGGAGAGGATTATAATAAGAAATTGCTGTCTGTAGCATTTAAAATAAGAAAGTTATTACATTATGCAGATTTTAAAGTGAAAGTCAACCTAGTATAGTGGAGTCACTTCCCTTATTGTCGCACATGCACAATAAAATGATAATGTTTACATAGTGTGGTAAATTAATATAGAGTAATTATATTTATAGAGTA